AAAAAAAAAAAAAAAAATAAGGATACCAAATGATGACAAAGTCAGTTCACCAAGTCATTTTGTCCAGGACGGTTTCCCTGGGCTACTGCAGGAGAAGAAGGGTACAGCATTCTGCATAAGCCATCCCTCTGTGATCTTTTTGGGGTCCAAATTCTATTTCCCTTTTTATCTAACATACATTCTGTTTCCTTTGGCAGTTTGACATCTCTGATTTAGTGCGCTGCATGAGACTACAAAGACATGGAATGGTTCAGACAGAGGCGAGTCTTGGTTGGGTCTCCCAATGAGGATTTTTGTAAAGATTCTAATATTTTAAAAGTTCCTATTAAACTGTTTCTCTTTTTTGAGGGTTCCCATGTTATAGCATAAAACCAAACATTTATTGCAGTGAGGTGCAATTTTGTAAAGCATGAAGGCTAATTAGGAAAAAAAATTAAAATTTGTCTAGGCTTTTTAAAATGTTGCCTTTTAATTTAAAAAAACAAGGAAATGCAGTGTCTGCACTGAATAGATTACACAGAATGGAATAGCATGCTGGGACAGAGATTGGGAGTGGTGCAAAATGCCATGTAATTAATGGCATCCCTTCCCCATTTCCAACCTAAGAAAGAAATAGACGGTAGTAGTCTTGCTACAGAAATTCCCCAGTAGGGAATGGATTCATCAGCGTTGACTGGAACACAGCAAGGCAGGCTGCAGTTGTGAGCTTAGCGGGGAGAGTGAATGCGGGGGTCCGTTTATCCTCTCGTTTTCATTTCTCTTACCTGAAATCAAACCATGGGTTTTATCACCCACTGAGTTGTGTCCTTCACAGGGAGTGCATTATTTAGAGTGTCTGTCTTCACTAAGGAGTTCCACTGTCCTTTTTTCCTTTTTGTTTAGTGGGGGGTGGAGGGCGGTATGGAAGCTGTTTTTATATATCTATAAATTCACTTTTTTTTGCCTCTTGAAAAATTCAGAAGTTTATATCTTTAAAATTAGAATTTGCCTACTTTTCAGTTATATACCTTTTTAATTCAAATTAAGTCTCCTAAATATTAAGCTGATTTACAATCAAACTTTTTAGGTAAGGAAAACATGTTGATTGGTATAAGCAGCTATTTAAACTCAAGAAGTTCATTCATTCATTTGTTTATTCAACAGATATTTATTGAGTGCCTGCTAGGTACCAGGAACTCTTCTAGATGCTTAGAGCACATCAGTGAATAAAACAAAGATCCCTACTAGAATTACAGACCTTCTAGCTGGGTGGTGATGAGGATGGCAGACCATAAACACATTAAATATGTAAATTATATAGAATCTCTGAACATGACAAGTGCCTTAGAGAAAACAAATTGAGACTAGGTAAAGGGAGTCAGTCATGGCAAATTGGGGGTGCAGTTTTAAATAGGATGGTACCGCTGAGAAAGTAACACTTGAGCAAAGATTTGAAGGAGGTGAAGGAGGGGCTCAAGTATTAACAGATACCTGGGGTAAGCGCCTTTCAGGCAGAATGGACCACGTGTGTGGAAGTCCAAGATGGAGGAGGTGTGTCTTGTGTGTTCAGAAATGGTCACAGCCAGTGTGGCTGGGGGAGTGAGGGAGGGGGTGAAGTTAGAGGAGGTGACCAGTCAGGGCTGAGGCTTTCCTCCAAGTGAAATGGGAGCCATCGCAGGATTACAGCATGGAGTGACGTGATCTAACTACCATTTTAAAGAACCACTCTGGCTGTTGTGTTAAAGCGACACCTGATCCGGGGAGGAGAATGCAGGGTTAGAAGCAGGGAGGTCAGTTAGGTGGCCAGCAGGCCGGCTCAGACTGGAGTGGTAGGTGTGGACATAGTGAAGGAGAACTTTACATCAAGCAGATTTGCTAATGAGTTGTATGTGATGTAAGAGAGAGAATCAAAGATGAATGTGTGGAAAAGTTAAAATACAGATAAAAAAGAAATTTAAAAGGCCACTTGTATTTCTACTTTCAGAGAGCTGTTAACGTTTTTAGATGTTCTTATATCCTTTGTCCTAAACACATGTGTATATGCATTCAGGCTGACACATGCACCTATCTTAAATGAGATTCAACTGTGGTTATTGTTTTATCACTTTCCATTTAACATATTGTGATTTTTTTTCATTTATTTTCAGATTCATTAATTGTTTGCCAAATAACAAAAAAAATTCAGATCCCTGCACCATTAGCTTAATAAAGAATAATTCCAAAAAAGTTCATTTTCGAAAAGTTAGATTTCTAAACTTTTGTTACAAAATATCTAAAGAAAATTATTTTTAGTAGCTTCTTAACTATTAACTTTTTAACATTTAAAAGAGCAAGATGAGTTTAATAAATCTAGAAGAAAGTTTATAAAAACGTTATTTTTCCATTAAATATAATCAAAGCACAAAAAATAGAAGTAACACACTGATCCGAGACAACTTCAGTCAGCGCCCGGTGATAGTTCCACCCCTCCCCCTCAGGCTTTTTCCTCATTTTGTCAATCTGGTTTCTGGTTTTTATAATTTTTATGACACCGCACAATTCTATGCCCTGCTTTTTACATTCAACATTCCAGCAAAATTTTTCCATATTTTCTGAACCCTTCAAACATCACTTCAAATAGTGGTATAGCAGTACATATATATATATATGTATATATAATATTCACGTTATACATCTAAAGTCTTCTATTTCTCTCTCTCTTTTTTTTTTTTGGTAGGATCAATATATTTTCTGCTATCAAGTCATCCTTTATGTCTTGACACGTCTTCAAGCTGAAGAAGAGCAAAAAGAGCAGCCTCAGCTTCTGAAATGACATGAAAAGCCTTCTGGATGCATTTCCATGTCTCCCCTTAACCTCCAGCAGACGCCTGCTCTCTATTTAAAATAATGATCACAGAGCAGCAAGTCCATACAGTATCATTATGCTTATTCTCTTCTATCTTAGAGGAGTATTCTTCATTACAATATTATAAATAAAGTTGAAATGCTGTATTTTTACAGCTACTTTAACCTATGATAATTATTAAAAAATTTTAACACTAACTGAACAGTACAGATCTTAGGGATAACTAAAGACAGCATTTTATTATAGCAGACGTTGTTATAAGGACACGCTGAGTCTATTTTTAATGCACCAATCTTGTTTATAGTAAAAATTTTTTCCAGTATTTTAATAGAGTTATTTTATAGGGGATACTTGAAACCAGTATTTAAGCTTTAAATGACAGTAATATTGGCATAGGAAAAAAGTAGCAAATGTTTACTGTATCAGGTTCTAATGTTTACTATATAGAATTTACTGTAATATATTTATATACTTTTTCATGAAAATGGAGTTATCAGTTATCTGTTTGTAACTGCATCATCTGTTTGTAATGCATCATCTCACTTTGTAAATAAAAATACACCTTAAAACATGAACAAGCCAAAACTGTGTGCAAACAAATTAAACATTTACAGTGTGTTATTTTTTAACAACACCCAAGCCCCTGGGAAGGCAGGGCCCCCTAGACGCCCTTTCCCTCTCCCCAGTCATGCCAGCCACAGGGAGTGGCAGTGTTGTCAGACACCCTGGTAGATCTTCATTAAGGACTGACGTGTGAGGGTCACGTCCCGGCTTAACAGTAGCTGAGAAGAAATTCGGAGCCTGTCTCCTTCCATCTTCCTCCCTGGGAGTGGTGCCAGCTTACTGTGGCCAACTGCTATGTAAATCAGAATATTTTCAAGTCCTAGTCTCAGTAATACTCAGGAGTAATCAAAGAAAGCAATGTCATACTACCTTGGGGACTTGTATTTGGTTCTGCCAAATAGAAAGGAAAAGAGATCGGCCTCAAAGAACCTGGTTACGCTTAGTTTTCTGATTCTCAGTACTGAACTCTAAATTTCACTAAATTCTAAGAGTATTTCTCCAGTCAGCTGCGACATTCCAAGACCCAGGAACCTGCTTGGCTCATCCTCCTAAGATGGTACCAGTTTGAGCTGAGTGACCTGAATTTCTAATCTTACCCAAGTACAGCGACTTGCTGGGACCTATTCTTGAGAATCCGCGGCTGTCTGAAGATAGAAGACAGAATCCGTGAAAATATAAAGCTCCATGGTGACATGTCCGACTCCCCGCCAGATAACAGGTTTGGATCCTTGCCTAAGAATCGGCTCTGAATCTGGCAGAAGCTTCACCACCACCATTCCCACTTTAATCAGAGGAGTGTTTATGGATTGTGTTGTAGTCGAAGATTTCATTTGGAAAAAAAGGTTTCTGTTGCTTTAAATGACATTTGGAAATCCCTGTTCTGAGTTGGAATCCTGAGGCCCTGTTTTCCTGTCGTAGGCTTGGGAAGCTAGGCCAGCAGAACGCAAGGAGCCAGCACAGCTGGAGGCAATTAGCTGCCATCCGAAGTCAACATCAAGGAGAGAGGGCAAAGCCGGAGGATACTTTTTCTGGAAAAAATGTATCTAGGAAATGGAAACTGTGGGAAGAAAATGCAGGTCCAGGTTTAGGACCTCTGAATGGAGACTTTATCATAGTGAACATGTCACTGCCCTCATCTGAAACCTGGATCCACCAGCATGGAAAGGTGTGAGTCGTTGGCAGGGGCCACCCTGGTTAGAAAGCAAGGCCAGGCCACACAGCCAGGGATGGCATGTGGGGCATTCACATAGCAAATCAATGAGTAAATGCAACTCGGCTCTTAACACAGCTATATTAGCTAAGTACTAAAAAATATAAGCCCAAAACATATGATGGCTCAAATGTGATAGTTTATTTCTAGTTTATCTAACAGTTCTGGGCAGGTGAACACCTCGGCAAGGCAGCTCTCCTTCCCCGTTTTTAGGAACCCAGGCTGACGGAGGTTCTGTAATCAACACATAGCTTCCCAGGTCAGCCTGGGAATTGCCGCCTCTCCCCAAGGAGGACCACCTCTGGAGTTTTATGAGCTGGGCCAGGCCTGGAAGCAAAACCTCACTGCCACTCATTCCATCAGCGAGAACCTGCCAAACGATCGCCCCCGAGTATAAGGAAGTTGGAAAATGTCCTTGGCTAATTAGCTATTTCCCTGTGACCACTCTATGCTATAGAAGGGGAAACACAAATTACAGTGGAATATATTTATAAAACTGAACTAAAATTATGTATTCCAAAAGAATGTATCTTAGTATAGTCCTGAGCATTGAAGAATTAGAAACATAGTTTTATGCCAAAATGAAAACTTTGGTACATGTCATTGGTAGAGATATTTCTGAATTATGATAAACAGGAAAGAAATTGAATTATGATAAACAAGAAAGAAATGGCTGTTGAGAAAAGATCAGATTCTTTTACATCTGTGGTTCCAGCTGCCAGGTCTTTCGGTTTAAAAATTACTAGTTATCGGCCGGGCGCGGTGGCTCACACCTGTAATCCTAGCACTCTGGGAGGCCGAGGCGGGTGGATTGTTTGAGCTCAGGAGTTCGAGACCAGCCTGAGCAAGAGCGAGACCCCGTCTCTACTAAAAATAGAAAGAAATTAATTGGACAACTAAAAATATATAGAAAAAATTAGCCGGGCATGGTGGTGCATGCCTGTAGTCCCAGCTACTCGGGAAGCTGAGGCAGAAGGATCACTTGAGCCCAGGAGTTTGAGGTTGTTGTGAGCTAGGATGACACCACGGCACTCTAGCCCAGGCAACAGAGTGAGAATCTGTCTCAAAAAAAAGAAATAATCAAGGTACCTTGTTATGGTGGAGATAAATGTAACAAATTATGGGCTGGCCTGCATTATATTTTAAAGCCAATTTAAATTTCACTGTATCACATGAGTGGATTAATAAAATGTGGTGTATGTATACCATGGAGTATTATTCAGACAGCAAAAAATGGTGAACTAATACCTTTCGGAACAACCTGGATGGAACTGGAGACCAACCTTTTAAGTGAAGTATCGCAAGAATGGAAAAACAAAAACCACATAAACTCTACTAAACTGGAACTAATAGATCAACACTCACATGCACATATGGTGGTAAAATTCAATGGAAATCAAGCAGGTGGGAGCAGGGAGGAGGTGATCGGTAAATTCACACCTAACAGGTACAATGCACACACTATCTGGGCAATGGGCACACTGATAGTTTGACTCAATCTGTACAAAAGCAATTCATGTAACCAAAACCTTTGTACCCCCATAATATTCTGAAATTTTAAAAAAATAAATAAACCACACATAAATAAATAAAGTTTACTGTATCAATTTTGGATTGTATTTGACTGCAAGTAACCAAAAACCAACCAAACAGGCTTATATAAATTAGAGATTTATTAGGAAAACAAGTTCAGAAGTAGGCTGTTGTTGGGATTGATTCTATAGCTCAAGAATCAAGAATGGCCAACAGCTCTATAATTATCCTGGCCTTTCCTTCATGATCTGGAAATGGCTGCTGCAGCTCCAGCTATTATGTCTGCATTCCAGAAAGGAAATAGGAATTGACAAAGAGAAAGAATCAGTCAGTGCCTAGGCTAGAAAGCAAAATTTCCCAGAAATCATAAGCAGACTTCTGCTTCTATCTTAGCAAAAACTGTTCACATGCCCACCTCCAGCTTAAAGAAAGTTATTTTTAGCTAGGCATAGTGCTGTCCTGAACAAAATCTAGGTTCTGCTCATAAGGACAAAGAAAGCAGTGGATATGGGTAGCAGCAAGCAGTGTGTGTCACTAAGGAATGGTGTCAATCTAAGATCTTCCTAACCCCCAAAATATCTGAATTTGTAACTGTTGAAAAGAGTCACAGATAAGTATTTGAAAACAGTCTTCACTTTTTGTAGGTTTAGAAACATTTTATTCATTCAACCAAAATTAGGTATATTCCAAAGATTATGCTAAACAAACCCTCAAGACACTGATACACCACGTTGCCGATGTATTAGCTGACGAGGAAGCTCTACCCAGCAGGATGGGGAAGCCTGGACACTGCCCCTGATGGGTAAAGTACATGCAAAGGCTGATCAGGAGGTTGCCTAGTGACTGAGATGTGCTTCACTAAACTGGGTTAGGCCGAATGGCCCTCTCTACATGAGGGGTATTTGTGACTGCACAAGAAAAGAGGGGGGTGCGACCCTTGATCGCTTCTCACGCGCTGTACCAGGGGTTTTCACATGACCTCCTCTCCAGGGTGTCTAGGATTGAATGTCTCATCCTTTTTAAGAGAGGAAACTGACGCACAGAGGTTGTCACTTCCCAAGGTTGCCCAAATAACCAAGGTAAGCGTTCAACTGCAGCTCTGACCCCCTTCAACCCACACCTCCAGAGGCGTCCTAGCTATTTAAGCGGAATTTAACAAGTAGCCCCGGCAAAGCCTGTGTTCTTTCTGCTCTAATCTGCTGCCATGACTGTCCTTTCCAGACACAGAGCTACGCACTCTGCTTACCGTTATTTCTCTGGCCCCGCTTACGAGTTTCATACAGGTCCCAGCTTTTGTCAACTCGTGATAATTTAGATCAATTAGAATGCAATTTATTCAAGTAGACCTTTTTTTTTTTAAGTTATATTCTTTGTCCTAAAGAGAACGTGTTGCCTCCTGGACAGCTTCACTATTTCTAGTTCTTCTCAGTAACATGTTTACAAACCACATATGGAGATGGCACCGTGTATGAAGACGGCACCGTGTATGGAGACGGCACCGTGTATGGAGACGGAACCATGGATGGAGATGGCACCGTGTATGGAGACGGAACCATGGATGGAGACGGCACCGTGTATGGAGACGGAACCATGGATGGAGACGGCAAGTCTTCTCACAGGACCACTTTCAAGCCCTTACATCGATTTGTGTTGTTTCTGTCTGGAGGGGGATGGTCACTGGTGGACGTGTCCCTCATCCTGGAGCTGTCCTGACTGTGGTAAACACTGACCATGTTGCTAATGCTTTCAGAACAGTGTCGAATTTTACCACTTTGTTTTAGGTGCCTAGGTGAAAAAACAATTTAGAAATTCTTTTTTTACCGATTCTTTAAAACTCCTGGTAATGCTCATTATAGACCTGGGACTCTCTGTTAACTCGCAACTCTACTTACCATGTTCACCGCAGTGATCTACTCCCCCAAAGGTTCCAGGAAGGCGGGAACCTTTCTGCCTCTTTTCTTCTGTGTGTCCCATTTGCCTCTACATAGCACAGACTGGCTTCTTCATCCATAAATATTGACCAAGTGGATAAAAGGGAAACCCCAAGTAGTAAAGCAACAGTTGAGACAATCATGTCACAAATCTGCATGGTTCTTTTCCATATAAAAAGTGCTTGTGGCGCTAAAACTTGAATAAACTTAAATCTTAAACTCTTAAACTCTTTCTGCACCGCCACAAAGGCAATCATTATCATCGTGTTAACCCATAAGTTATAGGGAATACTTACAGAATGAAATTGTAAAGCATTAAATCTCAGACAATACACTTTCTCACACATTTCAAAACTTACAAATAAGACTAGATGCTAAATGGAACCAAACAGAGTCCCAACAAAAGCATATTATGTAGGAAGTTATGGGATAAAGGCGGCATTTCAAATCAGTAGAGAAGAGATAAATGATTCAATATATGATGTTTGAATAATTAACTATTTAAAAAATAGATTCTTAACACACCATACAGAAAAATAAATTCCAAATGTAATTAACATGTACATATTTGGTCTATAAAAGTAATAGAAAAGTATATGTGAAAAATCTTTAAGAATGTCATATAGAGGATGGATTTTACCTATTGTCAGGCACCATTTATTGCATGAGAAGACAAGAAGTACACACAGCAGCTAGTAAATATGTGGCATAAGCCCCCCAAAAGAACTCCCTGAAAAGGGACAAAATACCTTCTCACAAAGAGATCCTATCACAAGTCACAACCCACACAAAAAATATAAATATTCTAACATCTGGCAGATGTCAAGGTCAAAAAATATTTTTAAAAGATTAATAAAGCTGAATACATAAAAAATATAAAACTTCTGTTCAGTAAAAGACATTATAGAAAAACAAAAGATAAAATACAGTAGGTAAAATGTCAACAATACATAAGACAAATACATAGTCACTATTATTACATGTTAAAATCTATAAATCGTAAACGAAAAAATACAATAGAAAAGCAGGCAAAGGACATGAACAGGTAAATGATCACGAAAAATGCTCTACTTCAATCATAAGGGTTTTTTTGTTTTTTGGGTTTTTTTGTGAGAGTCTCGCTCTGTCGCCCTGGCTAGAGTGCAGTGGCATCATCATGGCTCACAGCAACCTCCAACTCCTGGGCTCAGGGGATCCTCCTGCCCCAGCTTCCCAAGTGCTGGGACTACAGGCTTTGAAATATCTCTTTCTATTTCTTTCTGTCTTGAATAATTTCTTTCCATTTTTAGTAGAGACGGGGTCTCGCTCTTGCTCAGTCTGGTCTCGAACTCCTTACCTCAAGTGATCCTCCCGCCTTGGCCTCCCAGAGTGCTAGGATTATAGGCATGAGCCACCGCGCCTGGCCCAATCATAAGTTTTTCAATGTAAGTTTAAATAAGATGTTTTAACAAATCAAAACTGATCATTCCTTAGACTGGTGCAACTGTGAGAAACCAGGCCCTCTCGGGCAGTGCAGTACAACATGGCCAGACAGCAATTTGTCCAACATTTCAATGAGCGATCGGCCTGGCAGTGCAGGCTGAAGGAAGTGAGCTACAGAAATACTTGCACAAGGCTGAGAGTGCTGGTAGCAGCACTGTAACACCGTTAAGTTGAAAGCTATCTAAACGTGCATTCATGAGGATAGGTTAAATAAATTATAGTCCTTCCATGCAATGGAATAGTTCTATGTAGCCACTATTCTAAAGAATGAGGTAGATCAACAGACAAGATGTTCCATAATTTGTCAACAGGTGACTTACAAACAGTAATATATATTCATAGAATGATCTCAGTGTTTTTTAAATAATACAATGTATATACATAGCTTAGAAGGATATGTATGTGTTTTTCTCTAGGGAGTGAAAATACAGAGCATTCAATTTTTAAACTCATGTGTTCTTTAAATTGCCTCTCAGCCTGTATTACACCTATAATCAAGAAAACATTTTCAAGCCCTTAAGAGCTGTGTGTTTCCTCCCCAGGGTTCCAAAGGGCCTGCCCAAAGTCAAGAAGCCAGGTACCATTCGCCACATGGGAAGACAAGAACACACAGGCAGCTAGTAAGTATGTTGTGTAAACTCCCAAAAGAACTCCCTGAAATGGGTGCAAAATATTCTCAAAAAGTGATCCTGTCACAATTCACAATCCACTCAAAAACACAAGTACTCTAACATTTGACACTTATTCACCCAGGCCCTACCGAGGAGATTCACGCATCAGCTCCACGCTGTTTACTGGCCGCTGAGGAGTCTCTCCCCAAGTCCCCACTATTCACACAAAGCGAAGTGGCCCGTTGGCTCGAGAGCCCTGTGGCAATCCGCTGGCCCTGATGGCCCCGGAGCTACGGCGCCTTCATTCATCTCCAAGAAAGAGTCGGCCTCTTTGGAAGAAGCGGATTTCTTCTTACGGCAGACTTGTGCACAGCCTGGGTTCTTCTTTCTGTGTTTATTCTTCAGTCTCCTCTTGTATGTCTGGTATGCTAGGTGTTAAAACATACAGTCTTAAAAACCACTTTAGCAAACAGTATCATCTGGGGACATTGTATACGTGTCAGTACTCTGGGGATCTGTTTGCTCTGCATCATACATGTGTGAACACACAGGAGGAAGAGGAGGTGAGAGAGACAGCTGTGAACAAAATGACGCGGTGTGTCAGACGGGCTCTTTCTGTCTGGAAAGGACGAGATTGATTCACCAGGCTGCCGACAGTGTGTTCATTCGTTTGGTCAGCAGATCCCACGGGCGCTCACCATGAGTCGGGCGTCTGCGGGGGCCGGGAGGAGCCAGACATGACTCTTCCCTCACAGCCTGACCACGACAGGGAAGAGAAACGGGGACCTAAAACCAGGAGCTTGACTCGGCTAGGATGTCCCTCATCTCACGGGAAAATTAAACCCCAAGTATTCCTTACATTGTTATATTGATTGCTGTATCTGTAATCGGTGTATAATCAGTTACATCAGCAATCATTGACCGCACCCAGAGCCTGTTCTCTGACAACAGTAAAACCTTACGATGGCCCAAGATTAAAATATGTATGTGTATGGATACACACATTCTTTAAACTTATCTTCTGCGAACCTACATAATGACCGACTCCAAAATAATATATATTTGGCTATATGGGTAGGTAAAATATATGTATGCACAGTATTTCAGTATTTGTATATATACTATACTTGAAAAATATTTCACAGTCATTCAGCGCAAGTCTTAGTTACAGAAATATTGAAATAACTTGGCATTTGGGAAACCTCAAGGCTTTTAAGGAGACGTAACAAATAAATGCTTTAGTTTGGTAAAGCCCTGTCATTTTTGAGATCAGCGATTACTCATGGAGACCTTGTTTTAACATGTTCCGAAATCTAAGTTCTGATAATGCACTCGTTTTTGTGAAGCATATTTGTTTATAATTATTAATATAAGCTCACTTTCAGATTTGAAAAAATATTTTTCTGTGAAACTCCCACTTGTCTCAAAGTATCCTGTGTATGTACTTTATTGTCCCCAGAAATGTCAGGCTAAAAACATACCACAGGGGCAGCACATGCAAGTTTGGATTGGAAAAAAGTCAATAAATTAGGATGACCAATTTTCAGTGAAGTCTACCCCGTGGAAGTTCACCCACCTGCAACAATGAGAAATCCGTCCAACAGTTGGAAGAGTCCGTAGGCCAGCGGGAAACTATACATCTGGACCAAGTGCTCAGCACTGAAAGATAACTGGAGCATGGTGACGCACATCTGAATATTCTGAGCTCCAGTTTCTAAGGAAATCGTCCTGCACCTACCAATGAAAAATATTGCAAGAGTTACATACTAGCAATAAGAACTATCCTTCAATTTTCTCATATGTATGACAACAAACATTAGCTATGAAGCTTAGGCCACTAAAAAGGTTTACACTCATTCAATAGTTATTTGCTGAGCACCTACTCTGTAGGGGGTCTTCTGAGAGGCACTGTGGAGTAGGATTTAGCAAACTCTGCCCTAGGAATCTAGGTAAAAAGGCAAGAAACACACACGAGAAAGGCTCAGTAGCAACACAAGGCAAAGTATGATCAAGGGCCAGGGAGATGCGTAGAAATTCAGGAAATGGCAGAAGTGGTTAGAGAAGGCTTCACAGAGGAGGAGTGAGATTAAAGGACGGAAAGAGTGGAAGAGGCATTTAATGTGGGGGAGCAATGACAGAAATTAAAGTTCCAGGGACCAGAGGCATTGCATATACTGTGAGCCAAGCCGCACAGAGTGGAGGATTGGAGGAGATGGGAATGGAGAGTTGAGTTAGAGATAATGAAACGGTACAAACTAAATGACGCTTGAAAACCCACAAAAACCCTAAATAAAAACCAAATGTATAAAATGGTTGCCTTTGGTGAAAAGGTTTAGTAATAATTTTTTCTACTGTCTACTTTTCTATATTTTATTCGTTTTCTGATTGCAGACAATTAAATAAACCTTGCTTGAAAAAGACAAAGGAGGAAGAGGAAGGGAAACATGGGCAGGACCTTGGGGCCTGCGATAAGCGAGTTCACCTGTCTCCAGTTTGTAAAGGGAGCCTGCAGGGTTTTATACTTGGACGTGAGGAGACAGGGGAGGAGTTTCAGAAGATAAACCAGCATCTATGTGGAGGCCAGCCTGGAATGCGGAGGAAACAAGTGTGTGTAATGTGGGGGTGAAAACACCGTCAGTGGTACGGGGCAAGTTCATACCTTATTTCTACTTTCCCTGTCGCTTGCTACCCTTTACTCAAACTACCCTCATGTCTTTCAGATCAATCTAGAAAGCTGGAACTCACGCCGGGACCACTGGCAAGGCAAATGCGACATCTCAGTCCTGATCTATGTCAGGCCACCAGGTATGGAAAGACAAGATTGTTGACTGCGCTTGCCATGGGAGAACTTTCTCTCCAAATCCAATTCTAGTTCAACCGCTTACCAGTCTGTGTTCCTATTGGTTGATTTTGGAAACAAACCCAGGTTCAAATCCCAGCTCCCCCATTTCCTAGCTCTATGAACTTGGTCTAGTCACTTAACTCCTCTGAAGGGTTTGCTCATCAGTACAATGAGGACAGTGACGGTATCCACCTCTCAGGGTTGTAGTAAAAAGTAAGTGAGATAAACTGGGTGGAGTCTTACCCAGTGCTTGGTACAATCCTAGATGTTCCCCAAGTGGATTGGAAGTAGCATAAAGCCAGTTAAAAATGCCCCAACCTCCACCTTTGGAATTCAACTGCATAGTTTACTTTTCTTCAATAATTATTTTCTGATTTTAAACGTACTACATACTTATTGAAAAACTTAGATAATATACCAAGGATATATTAAAGAACTAAAATTAATCTCACTACTCAAAATTAAATGCTGTTACCATATGGTGTATTTCTTCCAGTATTTTTCCATGCATAGAATTATTTTTGCTTTCTTCTACAGAGTGGGAATAAAAATACATACCATTTTCTATTCTTTTTTAGCTGAAATTTATCTCTTATTTTCCAAAATCAATAAAATGGATGCATCTTATCTATCACATGGATACATCACAAATTAAACATATCCCTATTGTTAGATATTTGTTTCCATTTTTATTTATAAATAACACTGCAATTAACATCTTAACACATCAGTATTTGTGTGCGTATCTGATAGTGCTAGCTTCAGAACAGATTTTTAAAATTAAACTTACTGAGTTTAACTATAAATATTTACAAGGCTCTTGGTAACAACACTAAATTGCCTTCCAGAGAATTTATATCAATTTGTGTCTCCTCTGTCACTGTATGGTAATACCCATCTCATTACAGCCATACCAACATGCAGTATTATCACTTTTTTTTTTAAACTTTAAGTAAATGTTTAAGTAAAACTTTAAGTAAAACCTTAAATACGTAAATTAGGCAAAAACAAATAACAAACAAAAGTGGGGGCAGTGGCTAGTATTATCACTTTTAATATTTCACAGTTTATAAATCACATGCCCCCAATTGTAATGGTAATATTTAAGACAAATTCCTGTCTTTATTCTCAAGCTGGTCTCCTTTCTCTACCTGCCTCTTGTTACCAGCAATTTTTAAAAATTTAGCACAGACAATGGATAAGGACTTAATCCCTTGAAACTTGCTCATGCCTTAGAATGATCTCTATGTTTAATGAAACAATCTCATTCCTCCTATTTAAATTATTGGAATAAGAAGAGAAATGTGTCCAAACCTCAACAAGCGGTATTAACACTAACCAAATGCTAACTTCCCAAATTACAACTTCCCAACAACTTGGCTTTTGTTTGGTTTGCAAAAGAATGACCGTAATCTTTCCACCCGCTTCATGCTTAGTTGTGCTGTTCCACCCACGTGTAAGTCGACACTCTCCATGTCTCCAGACACAGCTGCAGCAAAGCCTGCCAGTGACAGTGTGTTTAATTTACCTTTCTCAAAAAAGTCTGTGGATAATTTAACTGTACCTTTGCCAAGATTGGTGGGTAAAGAGTGCCAGCAGAAAGCCTGTGATGTGGCCGATCAAAGGAAAGACGAAACTGATGGTCAGTAGGGTGACATCTGAGTTCCAAGATCCTTTTGCCAGCACCACACCAGCGACCGCGACCACCACAAGGAGGGCCCCACCAGCGATGGCGCCAATCTAAAGCAGACCAATAAAATAAGCACGTGCGAACATCATGGGTTGTTTTGCTCCATGATGCAAAGTCCATCAAGGCTCTAAAATGCTTGGAACCTAGAAATTTTAGAACAAAGAGGGGACTTAGAGACAACTGAATCCGATCTCATTTTATAGAGGAGAAACCAAGTTCCAAAGTGGTCAATCGACGTGACTCCACTAGAAATCGGTGGAATTGAACACAAATATAAATCCTCAGCTGGGCATGGTGGCTCACGCTACTTGGGAGGCTGAGGATGGAGAATCACTTGAGTCCAGGGGTTGGAGGATGCTGTGAGCTAGGCTGACACCACGGTACTCATCTTGGGGCAATGGAGTAAGGCTCTGCCTCAAAAAAAAAAAAAATAGAAAAAAAATAAACTAAACTAAATGGTATTACGTATGTGGTCAGCAGCCTCGCTCATGTGTACAAACTACAACTTTAGAGGTGCCCCCAGGAATGCGTCCGCAAGACAGCCCTTGCCCCTACTTTTCTAAGAAACCACAATATTCCTGAACACTGAGGCTCCACGTCACACCCGCTTGAACAGCTTTCGCCGTGACAGCGCCGGGTGAGGCCCTTGTGAACGGACAGGCCCTGGGCTCTTCTGTCCACGCACAGGGCTTAGCTTTTCTGTCACTAAATTGAGTCCCATGTTTTCCAGGGTGCCATAGCCTTGGTGTGTGGGCCTATGGGAGTGACAGAGGAGGCTTGGAGGAGTGGAATTCATACAAGAGCTGGATCCAAAACCAAAGGACACATAAGGAAAACTGCTGGGAGCGGGGCTGTATTTCAGCGGCTCATTTATTCCAGCCATGGCCCACTTCTGTCTTTCAAGTCTCTGAGCCTGTGCCAATGGGCCATGGAGTTGCTTACCTTAAGAATGATTTTGGACTGTTTTGGCCACCTGTAATTCACGTAGACACCGAAGGCCACAGGAATGGTCAGGCACACCAGGGTAATTCCTACAGAGAAGAAAAATCCATCAGCCGGCCTCCCCTCCCACCCTAACTGCCAGTCCTTCTCAGATTTTTCTATTTCAATTAGATAAACAGCTTTAACCAAAGCTGCAATCTATTTCTGCATCCACCTCCAACAATAGAAAATTTTTTTAAATCTTGGAAAGAGTCTTCGAAGGGTGTATGATACTAGTGCTGGCTACCGTCCCTGGGCCATCATTGCTCTTGCAGAATCCCTCTGGCAATCACATGGAACTTTAAAGACAACCAGATAGTAAGGATTAGAAAACAAGAGGCCCAGTTTAACTTCATGGGACTCTTTGGTTGCCGTGTATGAGTGCCACCCCTCTGCAGCCACGGCTATTATTTCCCTGTTTGAGGCCAATGGGTCATTTGCTTCCAAAGTAAAGAATATCTATTACAGACATAGAAACAGCATCTGTTATACTACCAAAGCAATTTCTCATAGCCAGGTAACCCAAAATGGGTTTTAAAAATGCCTTTTTAATTAGCACAAGTGAGTAAAGGCACTGACGGCAGCCTTTGGAGAGCAGAGGAGACTGCCCACCTGCCAACGGGATGCATACCTGACATTTCCCAGTGCCTCTCTCCAAATCTGGCCAAACGCCTACAGCATTGGCTCCAAAGTTATATGAGCTGTTTATAACATTTTGAGTCCTAATTGTTTATGACTGTCTTTCAGAACGTATTATCAAAACAGAGTATATTAAATAACTTACTGATCAGAAAAAGTTGCACATAAAATCATGGTTTCTAAATTAAGATTTCATTCAAATTTTACAAATGCAGTGGTCTCCAGCTGTTATCAGGAGATGCCTCTAATTACGGTTTTCAACTACGGGCCATGGGTTGTAAGCCCTCAAGGTGCTGACTTCAGACTCTAGACTGACACTTTATAACAATCATAGCTTCTATCACTTCTCCAAAGACTCTGACCGAACTAGAAGAGGCAGATCATCTCACCACATTTCTCTTCCAAGCCTAGTAAGTCCACAGAGATCTTTAGGAAAAGCGCAAGGTTTCATGAGAAATAACACTCAGGAGAAGAGATAATGAAAGAGATTTAATCATCAGGAAGAATCATTTACGTTCCATCTAAGAGAAAGTCAAGGCTCACAGGCGGTGTGTGAAAGGTGAAGTCATGAGAACTAAGGTCTGATTACAGCCACAAGAGCCAGTTAACTTTGGATCAAAAAGAGTCCAGTTGCTTTATAGTCTAACTATATAAGGGTTTGGGTTTTTTTTTTTTTTTAAATAAGTTCTCTGACTTTCTTTATTTTCAAAAATGAACTCTTGCAGGGGTTAAGAGCCTGGTCTTTGCAGGCAGATTCCCGGGTTAGAATTCTAGCTCTGCACTAACCAGCTGCATGATTTTGGTCAAGTTACTTTAACCTCTCTAAGCCTGCAAATCTAGGAAATTAAACTAGTAATAGAATCTATACTGTAGGGTTATTTAGTGAATTAAATTAGTACCCAAAAAAATCCCTGCGCAAAGAGATACGTAATTAACAATAGCTATCGCTGTTAGTGCTCCGTTTCACAAGCCCAATACAGACCGATGTTCTGATACGGAATGGTGAGGTTCTGCTGCAGATTCCAGGACCAGGTGTAGAGATAAAGGCAGAGTGGCATCATTCCCAGGGCAGCCACCGTGGAACAGGTTGTCATACTGATGCTGAAAGTAAAGTTAAGATGATTCTTAGGAGGGAGAGTTGGAAATTAAGAATTTAGTCTTTACCAAAAGCAACTCCCAGGATGCAATTTCTTAGAGATTACATGGAGTAAGCTCCTTGGAGTTTGTGTCTCTTATATTATTTAACAGGTGATGGCTATAGTTTTGCTCTAGGAAAAGATTTCCAGCAGTCCTTGTCATCTATAAATTAACTCATAGTTATTTAAGCATCTACTTGCCCTAAACATTCTGCTAGGTGCTATAGGATTCTTTTCTTTTCTTTTTTTTTTTTTTTTGAGACAAAGTCTCACTCTGTTGCCCGGGCTAGAGTGAGTGCCGTGGTGTCAGCCTAGCTCACAGCAACCTCAAACTCCTGGGTTCAAGCGATCCTCCTGCCTCAACCTCCTGAGGAGCTGGGACTACAGGCATGCGCCACCTCGCCCAGCTAATTTAATTTTTCTATTTTTAGTAGAGACGGGGGTCTCACTCTCACTCAGGCTGGTCTCGAACTCCTAACCTCAAGCAATCCTCTCGCCTCAGCCTCCCAGATTGCTAGGATTACAGGCATGAGCCACCGCACCCAGTCAAGATTCTTTTCTTATACAACTTCTTTTTTATTGACTATAATTCACAGACCACAAAATTTATCATTTTAAATTGCACGATTCAGCAGTTTTTAATACAGTCACAAGACTGTGCAAAAACAGCACTATTTCCAGAATATTTTCATCACCCCAAAAAGAAACCCCATCTCTATTAGCAGTCACTCCCCATTCCTCCTTCCCCCAACCCTTGGCAACCAAAAATATACTTTCTGTTCTTCTGGGATTACCTAACCTAGACATCTCATATGAATAGAATCATACAATATGTGGCCTTTTATCATGTGTCTAGCTTCTCTCACTTAGCATGTTTTCGAGGTTCATCCACACACCAGACTTTCATTCCTTTTTCTTTTTTGAGACAGAGTCTCACTCCATTGCCCTGAGTTGAGTGCCATGGTGTCAGCCTAGCTCACAGCAACCTCCAACTCCTGGGCTCAAGCAATCCTCCTGCCTCAGCCTCCCGAGTAGCTGGGACTACAGGCATGTGCCACCATGCCTGGCTAATTTTTTCTATATATTTT